CAAATTTAATATAATAACATGATAATGTAAATATTTTTGATACCTTATTTCAGAATTTTGATTTTAATTCATTAGTTTTATGTAATAGTGTATATTTAATTCTTAAGTTACCCTATTAAAACTTCAAGTAGTTAAATAAATTAGAATGAAGGCAGGATGAAGGGTGCTCTGATTGCATAGGGCAGCGGTCCCCAACCCTTTTGGCACCAGGGACCGGTTTTGTGGAAGACAATTTTTCCATGGACAGGGGTGGGGGGTGGGGGGCGGGTGGGAGTGTGGGGATATAGTTCAGGTAGTAATGTGAGCGATGGTGAGTGATGGGAAGCGGTAGATGAAGCTTTGCTCACTCTCCGGCCTCTCACCTCGTCCTGTGCGGCCCGGTTCCTAACAGGCCAAGGACCAGTACCGGTTCACGGCCTGGGGGTTGGGGACTCCTAGCATCTAGTTTCAAAGATTTTGAGTGAGTTAGAGGATTAAGTCTCTTAGGGAAAGGAATTGCATACGTAAGGCACAGAAATATTCATTAAACCCCCAATGATATTACCCATGAGATTATAAAATATAAATTTGCTATATTTACGTGTTGGAGACCTTAAGAATATTCCCTTTAAATTATAAACTTCTTAACCAAGAGGAAAAACAAAGAGTTACTCATGAAAAGTTAGAAATTAAAATAAATAGAAGATCTGAAAAGAAAAAAATGTTTTGTGGGGATTTGCTAAACAAGATTAAGAAATAATTATTCTTCCTTTTAAAATTTTACTCTCTAGTGCCTTAAATTTGGAAGTTTTCAGAGTTCCTTATCATTCATTTGACACCTGGGTTCCTTTGCATCACTGGAATCTGGGTTTTCTCATAGCTGCAATGTCAAAAAATGTCAAAAAATGTCAAAAATCTCACTAAGTATCCAGGTCAAAAGACTGGTCATAAATAAATAGCCAAGAGAATATGTTGATGTAAATACACTTACTCCTAAGTAATTTTCTTGAGGTCATACTTTGTCAATCTTATTACTGCATTATTAATGGAACTGGAAAACTAGGGTACCAGTGGAGGAGCTGTTGGAAAAAAATGCTTAACAGACCTTGGAATGTAGAACGTTTTGTGGGCTTTAAAACAAACCTCAACAATGCTAAAATAATCAAAAACACAGAATGTGTTCTCCAACTACAGTGGATGCAAACTAGAAATTAATAGCAAAAGGCAACAGGAAAATCTGTAGATACATGGAAACTAAACAATATATTTCTAAATAATCCATCAAAGAGGAAACCTCAAAGGGAGATCAAAATATACATTAACCTGAGAGAGAGAAAAAAGACAGTGGAGCTCATTTCTTCCTCCACAGGCAGGGAGTACTGGCTTTAACTGGAGTGTTTGAGCCGCTCTCACAGACACTGTCATTCTTCCTGGTTGGTGGAATCTATGCCATTGACCAGCCTGAAGAGGCCCCTCACCTTTAAAACATGAACATCTCAGCTTTCCTTCAAGTCCACCTCACCCTTTTCTCTGCTGCCCTGACAACTGCGCTTTGTATTTGAAGAATTCAAATCCACAGTCCAAATTGCTAAAGGTTCATAGTTTAACATTTTAACCTACATTTTTATTATTTCAGAAGATAAAATATTATGTTTTCTGTAGCATTTCTGTGGCAGAAGACAAGAGAGCACTGTTTAGAGCTTTAGGTCAGAAGGAAGAGAAGAGAAGCGGGTGGAGGAAGGAGACAGGGCTGCCTGCGGGGTTGCCTGAGGTCTTCTCCTCACCCCGGGCATTGAGTCTTGTCCAGATCAGAATTACCAGGGAAGTCGGGGAGAGAGGGAAAGAACTGGAAAAAACAGCTCATTCAGCATCTTGGCCTGGCCAGGCCTCTTTCCTAGACACTCGACTGTAATTGCCCGATGGACCAGAGGGGACTCCTCCGGATGCCATCCCCCTTCTTCCTGCCCTTTTCGAGCAGCATTCCCTTCCCACGCTACAGGGCAGCAGCAGAGGGGCATTGTCACTGCTCTGAGAAAGAAGGTCACCAACAAGATCTGCACCAATTAAGCTTTTGTTTTATAGGGGCTTGGACTCCTGTCTTGCATTTGGCTTAACAAGGTTTAGAGCATGAAGTGACCTCTCTGGGGGTCATCTCTGTCCTAAAAGCTGGTGGCCCTCACAATCATACTGGCTGGTGTGTGTGGCCCCAGATCCGACACAGTAACAGCTAACACTGATGTGGAACTTGCTGTGTGCCAGGCACTGGTTTTATTTTATTTTGTTTTTAAAAATTGAAGTATAGTTGATTTACAATGTAGTGTCTGGTATGCAGCAAAGTGATTCATATATATACATATATATATATATTCTTTTTCATGTTCTTTTCCATTATGGTTTATTATAGGATATTGAATACAGTTCCCTATGCCAAACACTGTTTTTTTTAAAAAATATTTATTTATTTAATTTATTTATTTAATTTATATTTTTGGCTGCGTCTGGTCTTAGTTGTGGCACGCGGGATCTTCGTTGAGGCACATGAGATCTTTCGTTGCAGCGCGCGGGCTTCTCTCTAGTTGTAGCATGTGGGTTTTCTCTCTCTAGTTGTGGCACGCAGGCTCCAGGTTATGTGGGCTCTGTACTGCGGCACACGGGCTTTCTCACTGAGGTGCATCGTAGTTCCCCGACCAGGGATCTAACCCGCGTACCCTGCATTGGAAGACGGATCCTTTACCCCTGGGCCACCAGGGAAGTCCCTGTTTTTGTTTTTGTTTTCTTTTCCACTATAGTTTATTACAAGATATTGAATATAGTCCCCTGTGATATACAGTAGGATCTTGCTGTTTATTATATATATGGTAGTTTATATCTGCTAATCCCAAACTCCTAGTTTATCCACCCCACCCCTTTGGTAACCATAAATTTGTTTTCTATGTCTGTAAGTCTATTTCTATTTTGTAAATAAGTTCATTTGTATTTTTTTTTTTTTAGATTCCATGTATAGGTGATATCATATGGTATTTGCCTTTCTCTGACTTTCTTCACTTCGTATGATAATCTCTAGGTCCATCCTTGTTGCTGCAAATGACATTATTTCATTCTTTTTTATGGCCGAGTAATATTCCATTGTATAGATATACTACATCTTCTTCATCCATTCATCTGTCGATGGACGCTTAGGTTGCTTCCATGTCTTGGCTGTTGTGAATAGCAGGCACTGTTTTGAATGCTCTGTGTGTGCTGACTCGTTCAGTCTTTCTTCACAGCATCCCTGCCAGGCAGGTAGTCCTGTGACCTCCATCTCACAGAGCAGGAAGTGGAGCCCTGAGAGGGAAGGAACTACTGTAAGGCCCTCACCCAGGGCCTTCACAGGCTGTGCTCTTACCAGGGGCTGGTAAGCTCTCTGTGAAGGGCCAGATAGGAAATATTTTAGGCTTTGTGGACCATACAGTCTCGGCTGCGACTACAGGACTCTGCCATGGTGTGTAAATGTATCCACAGACAACACTTGAATGAACATGGCTGGGTTCCAATAAAACTTGACTTATGAAAACAGGCATTGGGCTGGATTAGGCCCATGGCCCTAGTTTTCAGACCACAACTCTTCGCTATTAACTAGTACTAACTCTCATGTACATAAAACTTCTCATTTCTATTTCCTCAGACCCACCTCAGTTCCCATGAAGTTCCGTAAAATGACAACTATCATTAATTATATAAAATTTACAGTTCACAGCACATCTGCTCTCCACAGTACTTTTGTGAAGCATGTTTTATCAATGTCCCCATTTTAGAGAATAGCAAAATTCGGCTTCAGAGACAGTCACCGGCCCCGAGTCTCACATTAAAAATTCTTTGGCATGTTCTAAACTTGAAATCTAACTGAAGAGACACCGACTTCCCTGAGTAGCTTTTCCATCCTAATGATGTTTGCTTTTTTTCCTTCTCAAACATCTTGTCTTTCCTTTCTCATATCCTATGCTGTGTCTTCTTGTTGGGGAAGCAAAGCAGAGGCACCCTGATCTCTCTTCCTGGAGCTTCTAGAATCTTCTACCATAATCTTCTTGCTGAAAATGTTCTTATACCAAGGATCTGGAAGCCACGGGGGTGGGCACAGCCTACGTTTGACTACTGAGACCCCTTAATGATTCTCACCCTAAGAATCTGTCAAACGCCACATCCTTTTGAGCCACCACTTCAGTGACTAACATTTATTCTGAGCTCCCTCCAGGCTAGGTGCTGTGCTAAGTAATTTTTATATATTATCCTATTTAATTCTCAGACCCACTTGAGGTAGGCAGGCCTAGTTATTTATCCCTATTATGCAGATAAAGAAACTGAGACACAGAAAGCTAAATAACTTATGCTATAAGGATCGAGTATCCTGTGTCTCTGCCCACTCAAAGGAGAGTTCAGTTAGCTATTCATGGGCAGGGAATTGTGCCCATCCTGGGCAAGAACACAGACGTTTCCAGTCAAAGTAAGCTCTTCCTCACTCCCCTGCCCTGTTTGAGGCGCTTGAACATGAGTGTAGAGCAAAGGGGAGAAAATCTCCACAGGGGAGAAAGCGGCTCTCCAGCCTTCCACCGCGTATCTCAGGTGGCTTCGTATAAACCCTCCGCTTTCCCAACAAGGTAACCACCGCCCCGCGAGAGACATTATTTCGCGGCCCTGCCCCAGTGCTGTCCACTTCATTGTGCAAGAGCACAATCATGTTACTTCACCCTCCAACATTCTCAGTGAAACGGTCCTCACTCTTATCACCAAAGGCTAGAGAAACAGCAATCGGGGGAGAGGGGCGGCATCACAACTCACTCTGGTCCAGGGAGCGGATGTTGGGTGGACCCAGGAATCACGTGCTCGCGGCTGTGCTGCGTGTGCTCAGACCCTCATGGCAGAGTGAAATCCAGCTTGGTCTTTGCTAAAGGTCTCGCGCCCAGCTCTCAAGCACCAAAAGCAGCTTTAAGCACAGTGCTGTTTTCCAGCTGAAACTATAATAATATTCTTTGTGTTTTCATCAGAACGTGAAAAAGACGGACTGGTTCCAGGAATGGCCAGATGCCTACGAGAAGCACATCTACAGCTCGGAGGACAGGAATGCACAGCGGCACATGAGCAGCTGGGCCATGCGCAACACCAACAATCACAACTCCCGCATCCTCAAGAAGTCCTGCCTGGGCGTGGTCGTCTGCAGCCGCGACTGCCTAGTCGCTGAGGGCCGCAAGGTCTACCTGAGGCCTGCCATCTGCGACAAGGCCCGGCAGAAGCAGCAGAGTGAGTGGGGCTCCTGCCCCGAGGGGCCACGACGTCCCCGCACCTCCCAAGGGCCCATCCTTCGCACTGGAGGGTGGTGGAGACCAAGGCCGGTCCTTTAGGTTATCTTAAGGAAAGGCAGCCAGCTCCCTGGGCTCCGGTATCCGTCCCAAAGATCTGCCACGCCCAGGGCACCCACTATTAACCTCCCTCGGGTTAAGACGCCTGACTCGGGGCCTCTGTTAAAAGGAAGACACATCACTTAGGGAACTAACATTAATTCACCAGCACACCCACCTAAAGTTTAAGAGAAAGTTGTGTATCACGCTTGCCACCTCACATCTTGGGGAATGGGGTCCCCAAAATGATCTCGATGAGTGCTTTGATCTAGAGTGGGAGCCGGGACTGACTCTGAGGTTAGACTCAATTCCATGCCATTTAGGTTCAGCCATAATCACATGCTGAGATAATTCTTCATTTTGTTTTTTTATCATATTCATCAGGTTGTGAAATAGATGCATTTGGCATTCCCTGTGCCTTGCCCACTTCCGACCTCAAGTTACTTCATGTTCTTTCCTTGTAATTTGTTTTCAGAACTTGCTCTCAGGGCAGGATCTGGTATCAGTCATTTACACTTTAGTGAAACTTTAGTAGCTGCGTTCTCTCCGTCATGTGGTTTTGCTCCTTGACCCTTAGTTCTAATTGTGAAGTGAAAGAATTTTTTTCTGCTTCTCTACAAAGAATTTCAAGTATCAGTAAATAAGGAGGGAGGGATTTTTTTTTTTTTTTTTGCTCAAAGAAGCTCTCCCCTGTCCTGTAAAATATCCCGCTCTGTAGGCAACTGCTTCCTCTACCACGTGTGAAAGTGACCTGCGCTGCTTTGGTGGTCTGGCCTCCTAGGCTCAGGGGTCATGCCCAGTGTACAAAAGCCTATAAAACTGTGCCCAGGTGGATTCTTTGCCACCCAGGAATCTGAAATCGGCAGGGCCGCACAGACTCAGGTCACCTTCCTAAGTCACCTTCCTCTGCTCCTTTGTAGGGAAACGCTGTCCCAACTGCGATGGGCCCCTGAAGCTCATTCCCTGCCGAGGCCACGGGGGCTTTCCTGTCACTAACTTCTGGAGGCACGATGGACGCTTCATATTTTTCCAGGTTGGATTTGAGTTAGAGATTCCATTTCTCTTTAATTCAGGAAATCTTCACAGAGCACCAGCAGGAGTTTCCTCCAGGAAATGCACAGGTGGAGGGGAGCCTGCACCCTTCCTGGGGGACCCTCTGGGCGAGCAAACGTCTGTACCCCAAACCTTGAGACAGGAGTCAGGGGCTGGAGGCCAGGACAGGGGTGGCTGCCCCTGCCTCAGGCTCTGAAGGGGATGCTGCGGTCAGTAATCTGCTTAGGCAAGCACTGGCCTTCCACAGACCCAGCTCTGTAAACATAGACACATTGCTTTACTCCCCTAAGCCCCAGTTTTCTGTAAAATGTGGTGTTAAGAAGTCCTCATGGGGGAGGTGGTAGAAACAGTGGCCTCTGACAGTTGGACTGCCTGGGTTTGAGTCCGTGCTAAACCTGTCTCTGAAAAGAAAATGTTCTGATGTGTAGGGTTTGCCAGTTTCTGGGATATAACTATTCCCATCATGGCTGATATCAAACCGGTTTTTTTTGTTTGTTTGTTTGTTTGTTTGAAAAAGCTAATTATTTTACTATATATTCTTTCATACTACTTATACGATCATAAGATTGAACATGGAGTTTCATGGCAAAGCACATTAAAAATTAATATTGAAGGTAAAAGAGAATAGAAGATATTAAGCTTGACAGAGGTTCTCTGGAAAGATTTCTTTGGTAGAAGCGTGCAAGATGAGCTGAAATTTCCTTTCCCTTCTTTCCTCTTTGTTAATTTGGTTTCTTCATCAAATATATATTTTTAATTTAAAGTTAATTTTTTAATTAACTTTGTTAATTCGGTTTCTTCATCAAATATATATTTTTAATTTTATTGGAGTATAGTTGATTTACAATGTTGTGTTAGTTTCAGGTGTACAGCAAAGTGTCAAGCTGTTTTTACAACCAGCTCACAAATTCCTGAATGGCCAACAGTTGGCTTTCGGCCTGGCTGGCTCTGGCACACTTTGAATCCTAGCTCCCGCACGTACTAGGGGAGGTTTCCCAGGTGGTATAACCCCTCCATGCCTCCTGGGAAGGATGATAATGGTATAGCCCTCACAGCCTTGTGCCGAAGGTTCAGGGAGAATTATATGACAAGCATTACTTGTCATCACTATGAATGTGACTTGGCCAGGCTGGGGAGAGACACCACGCAAGGAAGGAGCATCGTCAGCAAAGGCAGGTGGGCAAGTAGGAGCGTGCATGGGGGGCTTGGGAGCATCTTAAAAGGATGCTCCACCAAGGGGGAAAGGGCGGGTGCTGGGATGAATTGGGAGATATATATATCTCCATACACATATCTCCCATATATATTGACATATATACACTATTTTTTATACTATTGATACTATGTATAAAGTAGATAACTAATAAGAACCTATTGTATAACACAGGGAACTCTACTCAATGCCCTGTGGTGACCTAAATGGGAAGGAAATCCAGAAAAGTGGGGATATATATATATACATATAGCTGATTCACTTTGCTGTACAGTAGAAACTAACACAACATTGTAAAGCCGCTATACTCCAATAAAAATTAATTAAAACAAAAAAAAAAGGTTGCTCCAATCTTGTCTTAGTAGTCAACTGCAGCAATACCCAGTCTGATGGCAGGGCACAGCATAAAGCTTTACGCACCGTGAAGCGCATCTAGTTATTTATTTCACTGCTTCGTCTCCTCTAAGTCAAAGGGAGAGCATGATCATCCAAAGCCAGAAACCAAACTGGAAGCCGAGGCCAGAAGAGCAATGAAGAAAGCGCACTCTGCGTCGTCCTCTGTCTCCTCGAAGATGAAACAGGGCCCACAGATAAAGGTAACCTTGCCCCATGCAGCTTCAAAACGTACGACGACTTGCCACCCCTGTGGTGGCGGCAGTAGATTTCCCTGTCCCTTACCTACGAATGAAGCCGAAAATCACATACCTTCAGGCTCACCTGTGAGTCAGCCTCTGCCAAAGAGACTGAATCTGCGGGTTTCCTCTTCATTTCTACCATCTTTGTAGCACGCCCTCAACTGTAAAGTCCATAGAATTTCAGAATCGTCTTTCCCTACTACAATTAAAAAGAGACTCGAATTAGTACTTAACCTATGTTCGGCACTCTGTATTTCTGATAGAACCAAAATGAAATGGTCTGCACAAAACATGAGCCTCGTGCTTTTTCATTCTTCCCTAAAGCAGGTGATTTCCTCAGCGCACTCCACCAAGACGAAATAACCAGGCAGTTTCTGAAAACAGTGCTCATCCAGGGATGTGGGGATGGAGGCTTCTTCCCGCAGTCAAACTGTGATGTGAAGTTCATGGCTTTATGGGTGTCAGACTGTAGGTTTGTGGGTTTGTCTGCTTAAGAGTGGTACTAAGTCCTATACTTTTTCTACTGTCCAATGTTCCACACTTCAGGAGTACAGAAATGAAGCCAGTCCATCCCTGGAGGCTCTAAAGTACCTTAAGAAAATAAATTGTAATTTGAGTCTTTTGTAGGGAAATAGGAGCCCCTGAATCCCAATGACTGGTCTTATCCCATCTCCCAGCCCTGGGAGAAGTTGAAGGGTATTTCCTCCCACTCACCCTACCTGGTCACAGTCTCTCCAACCCCATCGGTCGATAGTTTTACATAAATAAGAGGATAACTTAATTTTCAACCAGATTCTTTCCTTGCGATTAACTGGAGGACAATTTACTTTCTCCATTGGTAAAAATAAATTGACCACCTCATATTCCAGAGATCTACAATTTAACAAAATGAGTTCAAAGTCTCTTGAGAAAAAAAATAAACCCTGGTCTCATGGAATCCACACAGCACTAAAAAATAGAAAAGTCAAGGAGGGAAATGAGGTTCCCCTGAGAGTTATACTGAGGATAAGGTAAAACTTTGAAGATAAAGTTTGATTTTTCTTAAATAGCCCCTTACAAGTTTCTCACAGAGTCAGTTAGGATATCAGACTTGCGTTTGAGGGGAAACATTTTAAACACACTCCTGTCTGAGTAAAGGGCAATTCGGCCCTTCCTGGTTGGTCAGATTTCAAACGGAAATGGCAGCAGCCTTTAGTTCTTCCAGGCCTTGGGTGCTTGTGCAAAGCCCCGTGTGTGCTTGTGCTTCAAGTATGCAAGGAATGAAGAAAATCTGCAGAGCACTTATTTGTGCAGGGTCACTCGTGGGTGCCTGGGGTAGTTAGGTCAGTTTAACTTATTAACATGAGTTTTCTCTTTCCTTTCCAGCCTCTTCCAGGTGAAACACAAAGTTGGGAAAGTTTAACTTGGTCTTTCCAGGAAGGTGTCCAATTGCCTAGTAGTTACAGTGGACATTTAATAGGTAACGCTCCCCAGCAGAAGGCACTGAATGATGGCTCATCCTTCTGTGAGAGTTATGGTTTGGGGAGAACCTCTGACCCCAGAGACCCCACTCCCACCTTGGGCCCCACTCAGCTCTACGGGAAATGCAATTTGTCCAATAGTCGGGTCCCCAGCAGCCAGGACCTGCTTCAGCCTCCTGTCTCTGGAGTCTTCTCTGATTATAGTGATCTGCAAACATGGAATAAGAATGTTGCTTTGGGGAGAAATCCTTCCAATGACAACAGTTGTCCCAGTTACGCTTTTCCTCTGACCAGCTGGCCTTACGACTTCTCCCCTTCCCAGAGCTCTTCAGAACCCTTTCTCCAGCAGATTCCCATGGAACCACCAGCACCCAAAACTAGCTGTCACCCCTTCTGGCCAAATCAAGGGGGTGAACTTTACGAAGAGAAGGTGCATGTGGATTTTAACAGCTACCACCCTTCCACCACTTGCCATTCACCTCAGGAAGACCCCTTTCTCCTCACCTACACCTCTCAGCCCCATCATCAATATTCTCTGCCTGGCAAGAGCAGCAAATGGGATTTTGATGAAGAAATGAGGTACATGGGTTTGGATCACTGCAACAACGAAATGCTTCTGAACCTCTGTCCTTTAAGATGATCCAAATCGGGAGACTTGTGCACTGCCGGTGGAAATGTCATTTCGTGCAGCCTCTGCGGCAAACAGTATGGAGGTTCCTCAAAAAATTAAAAGTAGAACTACCGTATGATCCAGCAATCCCACTTCTAGGTATATATCTGAAGGCAATGGAATCAGTATCCCGAAGAGTTATCTGCACCGCCATGTTCAATGCGGCATTATTTACAATAGCCAAGACATGGAAACAACCTAAGACAGATGAATGGATAAAGACAATGTGGTGTGTATATATACACACAATGAAATACTATTGAGCCATGAAAAAACAGGAATCACGTCATTTACAACAACATGGATGGACCTTGAGGGCACTATGCTAAGTGAAATAAATCAGAGAAGGAAAGACAAATACTGTATGAACTCGCTTACACATGGAAAATTTTAAAACCCGAATTCATAGAAATAGAGATCAGATTTGTGGTTGCCAGAGGTGGAGGGTGATGGGTGGGAGAACTGGGTGAAAGTGATCAAAAGGTAGAAACTTCCAGTTTTAGATAAATAAGTTCTGGAGATGTAATGTACAGCATGGTGACTATGGTTAACAACACCGTATTGTATATTTGAAAGTTAAGAAGAGAATGGATCTTAAAAGTTCTCATTACAAGGAAAAAAATATAACTGTGTGGCGATGGATATCAACCACTCATTGTGGTAAACATTTTGCACTATATACATATATCAGGGCATTATGTTGTACACCTTAAACTTATACAAGGTTATATGTCAGTGATATCTCAATAAAATTATATCTCAGTAAAACCGGGGGAGAAAAATGACCAAAATCTTTTATAGCCACTTAAAAAGCTGTTCTGGGAAATGGCTGAAAGAATTTCTTTAGGAAATGGTTTTCAAAAGGTAACCACATATAAATCAGAATCATGACAACGAGCAGAAGGCAAGACTTCTCTCTTCACACAAGTGATCTGTTGGCCTGTCCTCCTCCTTTCTAGTACTATGGGGTACTAGAAGTACTAGAGTACTCCTCAGGAGTGCTAGAGTACTAGGACAGTTTTCAGGAGTGCTAGAGTACTCCTCAGGGAGAATTGAAAACTTGTCCCATCTGTGGCAGGAAATGTCCCCGGCTATTTTTTTTCTCCACAATATTTGGGGTTCTCAGCACCTCAACTGCATTATCTGTTGCATTTTCAATGTCCTTGCAATCATCTCAAACAGAGCAGACGTGAAAGGACCAGGATCTCATCTACGCCTTCTTGGAAACAGAATGAAGGAACGGAGAGAGCGAAAGAGTTTCAGAGGAACAGAAAGACGAAGATGCTACCACTGAAGTAATAATACTTTGTCTAGTATGAAACTTGTGGGGTTGGTTTATGAAACATGTGTCCTCTAGTTGATTTCTAAGACTCGTCAAGACACGGGCTATGACCCAACCGCATTTCCTGAACACAAAGAGCAGCAGAATTGAACAGCTGCATGAAGAGACTTTCCAGTGGCACCAAATGGTCTCGTTTCCTTCTTCTTCCTCCTCACTGTCCTCCATGAGAGCTCCAGTTTTGTCCCATTTACCTTTATTTTTACAGTGCCTAACAGCACCAGGCTCAAAATATGTGCTTGAGAAATGTTTGATTGAAAGAGTCCTTGTGTAATGAACATGGCCATGGTCAGGCAGCTGTATTTGAATGCCAGTACCTCTTTTTTGCTGAAGTACTTTATAAAAAGGTGAGCCTAGACATAGAATCTGGAAAGAACCATACAATCAGCACACATTTTCAAAATAAATGCTCTTTTCTATTTGAATGGTGACAAATGCACATGATACAAAATTGGTTCCTAGTCTCCGTCTTAAGGCATCATCGACTAGTTTCTTGTCTGTTTTCCAAAGATTAGAGATATTTTCTGCATACAGTAGTCCCCCACTTATCCGTTGGGGGGGTGCCTTCCAAGACCAGTGGATGCCTGAAACCATGGATAGTACTGAACCCTATATATGCTATGTTTTTTCCTATATATACATACATACTGATGGCAAAGTTTAATTTGTAAATTACGTTCAGTAAGAATATCTGAATTGCCAGCATCATTACTCTTGCACTTTGGGACCATTATCAAGTAAAATAAGGGTTACTTGAACACAGGACTGTGATACTGCAACAGTTGATCTGATAACTGAGACGGCCATCAAGTGACTGTTGGGGAGCATATACAGTGTGGAGGCCTTGGACAGAGGGATGATTCTTGTACTGGGTGGGAAGGAGCCAGATGGAGCGAGAGTTCATCACGCGACTCTGCGCAATTTAAGACTTATGAATTGCTTACTTCTGGAAGTTTCCATTTAATATTTCAGACTGCAGTTGACCACAGGTAATTGAAAGCACAGAAAGCAAAACCATGGATAAGAGGGGGACTGCTATATATGTAAGTGGTATCATACTAGATTCATTTCTAACATGACTTTTGTCATTTTTGGACACAATTTGGACATCAGATCCTTATAAGGATAAAGGACCACAGCTACCTCATTTTTAATGGTTTGTAATACATTAAATGACTATATTATAATTAATTTAGTCCCCTAGTGATAAAAATTTAGATTGGTTTGAATCTAGTAAATTATTTTGTCTAAGTATATAAATTTATATATTCAGTTTAGCAGAGTTATAAAGCAAATGCTTGTATAAGCACCATCCAGGCCAAGATATAGAACTTACAGGCATTTCAGAAGGTCCCCAGTATCACCTCACATGGGTCAGAATGTCCATCATGAAAAAGTGTACAAACAATAAATGCTGGAGACGGTGTGGAGAAAAGGGAACCCTCCTACACTGTTGGTGGGAATGTAAACTGGTACAGTCACTTTGGAAAACAGTATGGAGGTTCCTCAGAAAACTAAAAATAGAATTACCATATGATCCAGCAATGCCACTCCTGGGAATATACCAGGACAAAACTGTAATTCAAAAAGATACATTCACCCCTGTGTTCATTGCAGCACTGTTCACAATAGCCGAAACATGGAAACAACCTGAATGTCCATCAACAGATGAATGGATACAGAAGATGTGGTAAAGAAGGTCCCCTAACTGCAGCCCTCAATCCCACCCTTTCCTGATCACAAGCCCCTTCCTGCATCCCGAAGGTGGTTGCTAAGGTGGCTCTTTATATTTTTAGTACCTTTATATGTATTACTCAACAATAGTTTGATTTTGGCTTTTTGGGGAGAACCTAACAAATAGAGTCACATGGTGTACTGTTAAAGACGTATTGAACTATAATGTACATACAAAAGAGTGCACGGTCATAGCCTAAGCTCAGTAAATTCTCCCAAGAACACAGCAGTCTGGCCACCATCAAGTGCAAATTCACTCATATCTGCTTTTTCTGCTCAACACTGTGTCCAGAAGAACCATCATATTGTCGTGTATAGCTGTACTTTGTTATTTTCATTGATGCATTAAATTTATTTATTTGCACCTGAAATGCCTTTCCTCCATGCTCTAAGACAGGTGTCTCTGCTTGCTAAACATTTTGGCTCAAAATTCTAGGAATTTTGTCTGATAAAAAGTGTCTGATGTAATTCACCTCCCCTCGGAGAGCCCCAGGAGTTTGCATCTCCCCACCCTGCATGATCCTTGAGTATAAACAACCGATTAGGGACCTATAACCATTGGATCTGAGGGTTTGAACAAAGTTTAAAGGTCACCTGTGCAAATATCTGAACAGACATGAATCTCCTTTACAGCTTCCCAAACAAAAGCTTATCCAGCATGTGTTTGTATCTTTGCATAGAAGAGAAATTCTTTCCTTCAGAACATAATCAGCATAGTAATTTCATCAAGTGCTTTGAATTCAGGTCATTTCAAGGATGCCTTACTGTTCCCTGAGGACAAGGAAAAAATATTAGGTCTTCAGCTGAAAAATATTAAAAGCCTTACATACAGCCAGGCATCCAAGTCTGTGTAAGTCAGAAAGCCAAGCGAAGGACCCTGAAAATGCTAGTCCTTACTCTTAAGATGCAGTTGTCAAAACAACCTAACATTTGCACTGACCACAATATGTGGGATTTCAAACTTTTGGACAGAATCCAAAGTACTTTTTAGATTAGGGACCGTCTGGCAGCCACAGCGATTACAAAGAAAGGCCTTTAAATTAGGCTCTGTTGAATATTCAAAAGACCAAAAAAGGAAAGGACAGGCTTAGGGTGGAGCAGGCTGTGGGATGAAGCCATGGGTGTGGAGGAGTCTCCTAGGTCTGGGAGGCTCCCGCTGCACCTCAAGAAAGTGTCAAGGAACAGCCACTGCGTGGGTGGGAACTTTAGTTTCTATTTGGTCCAAGGCTTTCTGGATATTTCAAACATTTCACATCTACTAAACTAGGCACTCTGCCCTCCCAAACCTTTTGCTCTAGAAAACGAGAGTCTTGATATTTATCAAAGCAAGAACATGTACATAGCTTGAAACATCAGATGGCACCACCAAACTTTTGACGAATAACAGCCATCTCTACCCATCCCTCCCCACTCCCAAGTCCTTTCCCCACACTCCACTTTTTAATTCTTTTAGCTGATGGCATTTTGTTTAGGTGTTGCCAGCCTCTAAGTGGCCTTGGCTCCAGATGGTGCCTTAACAGCCATCGCTGCCTCTTGTCAACCAGCCCTACCAGTAGGGGTCAAAGTTAAACTGGGCCTGGACATTAGGACTTGGTTGGAAGCTGACTGTCTTGGTGGCCAGCTGGGTGCCTCCAAGCTCACAGCATGAGTGAGATGGGGAGACTTCAGGAGTGGGTGAGGGAGACGTAGAGATGAGACTTGTGCTTGTCAAGGGGGATGGGGGCAGGGAGAGGGTTGGACTAGGTGTTTGGGTGTGGTAGGTGCAAACTATTACATTTAGAATGGATAAACAACAAGGTCCTACTGTATAGCACAGGGAGCTACATCTAATCTCCTGGAATGAACCATAATGGAAAAGAATGTTTAAAAAAGAATATATATGTGTGTGTGGCTGTCACTTTGCTGTACAGCAGCGACTGACACAACACTGTAAGCCAACTGTACTTCAATAAAAAAAAAAGAATGGGTGAGGGGAGGGTTGGGGGAGATGGAATGGAGGATAAATAATTGCACGTGGTGACTGAGGAAGAGAGGATGGAATGAATTTTAAAACCAGAACCAACTCCCCAATTCTCATTCTGTTCCAAATAGAAAGAATCATTCTCCATTTTCTGACCAGAATCCCTCCCTTAAAATGGGAGCATTGGCTTCCCTGGTGGCGCAGTGGTTGAGAGTCCACCTGCCCATGCAGGGGACGCGGGTTCGTGTCCCGGTCCGGGAAGATCCCACATGCTGCGGAGCGGCTGGGCCCGTGAGCCATGGCCGCTGAGCCTGCGCGTCCGGAGCCTGTGCTCCGCAACGGGAGAGGCCACAACAGTGAAGAGCCCACGCACCGCAGAAAAAAACAAAAACAAAACAAAATGGGAGCATTGTCCTATGAGAACAGGAGGCTTTTGGCCCAGGGTGATTTCAGTGGTTTATCCTCTCATCCTGCAAATATCTGGAGGATTCCTCCAGAGCAGTTTTTTTTCTTCATCAGGAGAGAAGAAACATAGCTGACTTGTTTCTTTTTCTAGCTTCCTTTGCCTTGCTAAGAAAAAGATTATTTTGGAAATCTAAGCACCCTCTGCTAAGCCTTGGGGTTGTTTATCTATAACTGTCACAGAGAACTTGTGCTCCTTTTGGTACAAAATAAAATACAAGAATCGGCAGTAACCAGGAGACACGGGGTTCTTCGGGCTGACGCAG